TTTTCCATTTGGTCCATTTTACTTTTTAAGACGTTCTTCTCTTCAGTGAGTTTTTGTGCCTCCTTTTCCATTTGGCCAATTCTACTTTTTAAGGACTTATTTTCTACAGTTAATTTTTGTCCTTCCTTTCCAAGCTATTGATTCTTTCTTGCATACATCTAATTTCTTTTCTCAATTTTTCTTCTACCTCTCCTATTTGACTTCTAAAATCCTTCTTGAGTTCTTCCAAGAATGCTTTTTGGGCTTGAGACCAGTTCATATTCCCCTTTGAGGTTTTGGATATGGGTATATTAACAATGTTGTCCTCTTTTGAATTTGTGCCTTGATCTTCCCTTTCCCCAAAATAAGAATCTATGGTCATTTTCTGTTTCTGTTTCTGTTCATGGTGTTTGTCTATTTTCTGACTTCTTATAAAAAAAATGTAGAATTCTCCTGCTGGAGCGAAGAGAGCACTTACCCATGGTTCTTTTTCTGTTCACCAGGCCCTTGCACTTGAACGTTTGGCTCTTGGTTACTGGGCCTTGCACAGGGATGTTTCAATGCTGGTGGATTTCTGTCAGCCTGGAGCTTTGCCTTCTGGAGTTGTGCTTCCCAGAGTTATGTTGAGGCACTGGGTGATTTCACTGCTGGAGAATGCAGTCTCCTGTGGTCTTTTTCCAAGCTAATGTCTACCAGTTCCCCTTCCTATATTAAGGCTCTGAGGGGTGGGGATGGGGTCCTGGTGTTGGCACTTCTTGCTCCACCAACCTGAGTCTCAGTATCTCCCCCTGGTATGCCAAGGTGGGGCTTGCTTCTGGCTTGCTGTGACGCCTCCAGTCCTATACTATTCCTCCTCCTCCTCCACAGTGAGAAGGACCTATCCCATTAATTCCCCCAAGTTTCCTGGGGTACCAAACTGCTGTGCCCTGTCTTTTTGCTGGCTCAGGGTTTTTCCTGGGTGGATATTTTCTGGGTTTTCAGAGGTCAATGAGGGAGGGTGAGAGTGACTTATTTCTTACTCCACCATCTTGGCTTCCAGAAGCGGAAGCTCACATAGTAGATTCTTAATAAATGCTTGTTATGTCACTCCCAGAGTCACTGTGGTCTTTATTAGAGGGTGAAAAAAGCGGAAACTTAGCAATGTATGGAAACTTAGCAATGTAGCTAGGGATGTTTGAACGGCTTAGGTAAGTCACCAAGATAAGGAATAGGTATCTTTTTGGTCCAATTTACCCACTTGAATTGTTTATATTAATTCATCACTCATGACTTTCCAGACTAAAGTACTTCTCCTACCCCTTACTCATGTATATGAACTATTTTCCTTTATTAGAATATAAATTTATTGAGGTCAAAGGCTTTTGTATTCGTATTTCTCATTACTTAATATAGTACTTGGCACACAGTAAGTGCTTAATAAATGATTTTTCATTCATTGATTCATTCAATCATGAAAAATCTATTGAACATGGTATGCAGGCAATGTTAGTTGTTGTATCCAACTAACTACTGAAGCTCAACTTCACTTTGTGTTGTGTAAATACACATTTAGGCAGAACATAAGCCTTTTTGCTAATGTTTTGCCTTCAAGAGGCAGTCTGGCATGGTGAAGAGAGTGGACATCTGAGCCAGGAAGTTGTTGTTGTTCAGTTGTTTTTCAGTCATGTCTGACTTTTTGTGACCCCATTTGGGGTTTTCTTGGCAAAGATACTGGAGTGGTTTGTCATTTCCTTCTCTAGCACATTTTACAGATGAGGAAGCTGAGGTAAACAGGGTTAAGAACCAAGAAGACTTCAGTTGAAATCCCACTTGTGACACCTACTGGCATACCTGGACAATTCACTTAACCTCTCAGTGTTCTAGGAAACTCTATAAATTGTAGAGGAGGTGCTGCTGACATGTATTAGTAGTGAGTATTTCCATATCCGGGAAATCACAGGTAGAAATCATACCAAGGAAATCATAGGTACAATCCCTATCCAACCATAGTGAAGCAATTTGGGGGCATTGCTCTATTTGGCAGGAATGCCCAAGTATCAGTTGGAAGTATTTTTCAACCTAAGTCACTGTTGAGGTAGCCCATTTATACATACCCCATAACTGAGGGGATTAGGACAGCAAGTGGTTAATTATGAGAATTGAGTGAACCACATTGACTCCCTCTTGTGACTCAGTTCTGGAGCTAGCTCAGTTCCTTTTCTATTCAATATGGGTCTAGTCCAACTTCTGTCTTGTGAGAAAACTTTATTCACTTGTGGGAATTGGGAGAAAACCATATTGCATTGCTTGAACCTAGTTCTGTGTGTCTGTGAAATTGGACCACCTCTACCTGCTGTTTAGAGACTCTTAACTAAGGACATGGGTAATGCTGACCAGAAACTCAGTCAAATCCAAGACTGATGCAAGATTTCTCACAATTACACAACTCAAGCAACTCATCTATTTTATTTGAAAACTGGCCCCATGCTGATCAATCAGTTAGTGTTTCCATGTTACTTTGATTGTTCACAAACACCTAGGGAGAGTAGAACATCTCTTTTTCTGAATTCATCAGCGTTACACCTGTTCAATCTCCCCCTCCCAACTTGGAAAGTCTCTAATCTTTTATCCAATTAGAAATCAGATTACATAATGTTGCATTATTTCCTTGTAATTAATTGGCCTTATTTGATTAATTGTTTTTCATGTATAAAATCTGTCTCTCCCTGGATTGAGGGTACAGCCCTAAGCTGAGGAAGGGATCTGGTCCCAATTTGTTAGGAAATTGGCATGCATTGTTTAATAATTGATATGCTTGGAAGATTGAACCTTTGTTTCCTCAGTCATTTCATCCTTCACCCACCACATAACTATTTTGGAGTCTTTATAGGATCCATGTGTGAATTTGAACCCTGTATCTCAGTCAACTCATGCAAGTTAGCACTTAATAGTTTGTTTGGGTTTTTTTTTAGCAGAATTGATCTTATATTTGTAACAAAATTGTTCTTCATCAAAATAACTAAGAACACAAAATAAGACACACCCCATTCACACTTTTATTGGTGCTGGACTACTAATTGCAGCCACTGGTTTAGAAAGACTGAAAAGAACCAAACATTTCCTATATATATCGTCTGGGCTATTACTAAGAGGATAAGCATTGAAATTGTACAGATAAACATATTCTTATATTGAAGATTGTCTTTAGAAGTAACTGTGAACCCTTAAAGGGTTCTTTAAAGGAGTGAAAACACACTTCAATGTATCATTCATTATCTCTAACTCCCACCTTAAGGGTGCTAGCTACTTGAAGGAGTGGAAAGCCAGAGATAAACTGTTATCTTCTACAGAATGTTGGCAAATATTCACTTCAAACCCTCACAAGCTATCAAATACCCTATATTGCTTCCTCAAAGATCCATTTTCAGAAAAATAAAGAATTTGTGAATCAATTAACACTCTACAATGGGAATTTTCTTTACAGTACTTCCTAAATGACTGGGTTTTTTTGTTTGTTTGCCTTACTATTGGCAAGTCAATTGATCAAGTCAACAAGCCTATAGCAAGTGATTACTAAGTGCCAGGCATTGACTCTGTGTGTGTGTGTGTGTGTGTGTGTGTGTGTGTGTGTGTGTGTGTAAAACCCCTGGGGATACAATGACAAGAAAAAAAACCCCATAGTTCTTGATCTCAAGAAGTTCACAATTTACTGGGGAAGATAACATGCAAATGACTATGTAAATTAGAACCCAAATACTTACAGTTCAAAATGTTTGGAGACGTTATTAAAGTTTCTAACCTTTGTATTATGTTGTACCTTCCCCTATTTTTCCTGCTGCCAACCGAAGCTACCATTAGTTACTGAAAGGTGGAGGGCAATAAGGGAATTAGGCTGTTTCCCCCCCCTTCTCTATCCATAAAAACAAGAATCTGTCTGAAAAAAGGGGTGGTAGAGGGAGAAAGAAAGATAGCTGAGTCAATGTTATTTCAGCCTCTCTTCCCTACGCACATCCTTACGAATCTTATTTCCTATGCATCTGGACTTCCCAGTCAAGGATATGTTATTTTGTTAGTATCAGAACAGAGGAAGTATTGTTGTTGTTGTTCACCCTTTGTTCTTGAAGAGGACCATGACATTAGGGAGGTCATGCCATGACTTGAAGTGACTTGGATTTAAGTGAGGGAGGGCTGTGCAAAGTCACCAGCCTCATCTTCTCCTCCACAGCCATGTGGGTCCAGTGGCAAGATATACATCAAGACGACTGGAGACAGCCCCCAGAGGAAGGTATAGACATGGATGGAAGGAAAAACTTAGAAGTTTTAGTTGGACCACTTAAAATTCAGCAGAGATTTTGAAAATATATTTATTTGTAACTATTTGTGGCATCCTGAGAATTATATTGCTTGATTAGTTTTCTTAAAAGTTGCTTTGGTGGTAGAACTAATCAAGTATTTCCTCAAAGGCTTTCAAAAGCTATGCTTTAGTAAAATTTGTTGCCTATTATTACAGAGCTAGCAAGCTAGAAAGTATATTTTAGAAACAGTTGGATACCAGAAAGCTTGACTATAGACAGAATTAGGTAACTTATTGATATAATGTCATATTTCCTAATTAGCTCGACACGGCTTTCAGCATTACTCAGTGTCATTTCCTTTGACTACTAGGGTAATGGGTAGGCACACTCCTGGAACCTAATAAGCCTTTGGATCCTTTTCCTTATTTACTATTTTCCTTATTCATGATGAGCTAAATTGAGTTCAACAAATTTTTATTAATCACATACCATGTACAAAGCACTTTGAGGCACCGGATGAGATAAAAGTTTCCTGCACCTGACCAATAGAAATTCTATGACTTAGACCCTCTTTTCTTGGGGACAGGGGCTTTTGTATTCATATCCCTAGTGCTTAGCATGGCTGCATCCCTACAATAATAGCTCATATTTATTTGGTACTATGCAGTTTATAAAGCATTTTCATTCCCAATCCCCATAAGGTAGGTAATGCAAGTATAATCCCCTTTGTATAACTATAGCTCTTTGCAATATGAAGATGTCCCTGCCCTCCAAGGGTAAAACTCTGAAATGGCAAGGTTTTGAGTATCAGCAAGTGACAGACCACCTTGTCAAAGAACCAGCCTAGGTAAGCAATTTACCAGAAGGATGGTCATAACAAGATTAATTTTCTATGGCCACTACAAGTCATAGAGACTAAGACGTGGGGGGATGCAATCTATCACACTGAAGGGAGTATTCATATGGAGGAAAAAAACCATGTTTTCCATTGTGACAGCCATCTTGGACGTAATTCACAAGCATGATAAGGCACAGAGATTAAGTGACTTTCTCTAGATCATACTGCTAGTAATAGATGGACTTGCAATGAAAACCCTGGACTCCTTACCAGCATTTTTCTTTTCACTACACTTTAGTCATCCTTGTTTACTGCTGTTCTTATTGGTTATTTACTTTCTATTCTTTCTTTCTCTTCTTCCTTCCCATTTCTTCCTTCCTTCCTTCCTTCCTTCTTTCCTTCCTTCCTTCCTTCCTTCCTGTTCCTGCCAGTGTAGGAGGCAGAGGATGTTCCTAAGATTTCCTCTCTTCTACCAAAAACAAAGCAAAACAGAAAACAAACCTGCCTTCAATAACAGTAATACTATGTTATAGCTGAGACTTTAAAAGGCATATATAATAAAATCCTGGCCTTGCCCCAATTTTAAAATATGTACTTTCTTCATTATCAATGACAGACGAAATATACCTATAGCTACAATTTTAGTATCACAATTTTTTAAAAAATTGCTAATTGGAAACTGAAAGCCTGTTTTATTTTTGTTTTGTTTTGTTTTTTACTGTTCTGGTTCACATGGGCAAGTATGCCAGATTTGTCTTATATTTGGATACCTGGCTTAGACTTGCTCTGCTTTACTTACACGAAACACTATGCCAATCCAGAGCCAGGGCCAGGCTGACCCTGCCAAAATCTAGCTGAAGGGAACATGTTATAGGACCAGGCCAGACTCAGTCCCTCCTCATCCCTTGGCTTCTTCTTTCTCTATCCCATGGCTCAGGCTCAGGAGTTTCGAATAACATGAGACACTCTCAGAGTACCTAATACAAAAAAATTAAGAAGTTTACTTAACAATAGCATGGAAAGGACCCTCAGCAAGGATACAGAAATAGGTTAAGTGGACTCAGCTTTCTTCATCTCAGTATAGAAACTTAGCTGGTCAGTAAGGTGCTTTGGATCAGATGGAGTTAGTTCCCCTCATAGCAGGGGAACATCTGCTAAATCTGGGGGATACTTACTCCTCAGGGGTTGGCTTTTTTATACCCTAGGCAACTCAAACTCTTAGCCCCCTGGATTAATCAAGCCTGGAAACGATTCTCTGCCTGTTAGGGAAAAAAAAATTAATGTCACCTACATGGCAGGGACCCCAGTCAACATGATGTTACCACAGAACACTAAAACAACAGAATACCTAGGGTAGCACCAAAGTCACCAGATGTCTAACTATAATGATTTCTTTGAAATTTATTCACTTTAATATAATTTGAAGGGTTAAAGTTAAGGAAGACCTGCACAAAGAAGTGCAGCTCCTTCTTGGAAAAGGAAATCAATGGTGCAGGGCTGGCAGAAGCTTGACTAAAGGCCCAGTTGCCTTCTGGCCTGTTACTACCTCACTACAATTCCCCTTCCCTATCCATGCTTACTAACTTCTCAATTTATTCATGTTTATTTCTTGTTGATTTTGCTACTTTGGATCCATCTCTCAAACCTCATTGTTAAAGAGCCATCTATGGGAAGTTGGCCAAAGGTCTGGGAAACCCCTGAACACCAAGAAAAATCTTGTTTTTTTTATTTTGCTTTTGTTAAAAAGGCTTGTTCCTTTAAAAGCTGATAATAACCCAGCTTTGTTCTTAATCCTTATGGCTTTTAAAAATCAACCTTTTGACTCCTTTTGGTTCACCCATAGCTGAGCTGATACCTCTTAATGACTAATAACTTTAATGTTAATTTGTTCAATAAACAAATAGGTTTCCAGGCAAAAGTAAAAGACAGAAACCAGAAATATGAAGCAGTTGGAGCAACATATATTTTATAGTAACAGTTTATATTTGACTGGTGCTCTACAGTTTTTAAAAAAATAATTTCATACACAATTTCATTAAATTTTAAAATTGGAGATTAATTTTAATAGTATTTTTAAAAGGACAGTAGGAGGTAAGCTTTTCCCCCAGGAGAATATAAATTCTTTGAGTTTAGGGACTGTTTTTCCCATCCTGTAGTTAGCTCCCCACAGCCTGTACTTAATCAGCTCTTAGTTGTTAAGTTGAACTGAATTCACACTGTAGTACTGTATTAGTAAGTATGCATAGGTGTAACTAAAAAAATTTTCACTTAGACATACAAAACTGACATTTAAACTTTAAGCTGGGCTCTAACTTTAAATAACATGGCTATTCAAATTTTATTGTGCCCTACAGTTATTTTGAACTAAAGCTATAAGAGAAAAACAACCATGTTACATTTGCATCTAGAAAGCTTTTGTTCATCTTAAATACAAGTCTGTGATGTGACAAATTAGCAAAGTAGACACCACTCTGGTTGTAAAATTCATGCTCAAAAAGGGCTAAGCAGTCCAAATTTATTTTTTAAACTTGGACAGTTAGTAAGAAAGATACTGGCCTCTAGACTCTTACAGATAAGACCAAACATTATACTTGGAGGCAGGAACTCATTAAAATACTAGCTGCAAGAGCTTGGGTAAGTTACTTAACTTCTGAACTTCAAACTCCTAATCTGTAAAACAGGGAATAAAAATCACCTCAACTCACAGGTTTGTGGTGAGGGTCAAATATGATAATGTGTCAACATCTTTAAACACCTTAAAACTCTGCCTAAATAGAAATTACCATTAGTACATGTAACTTGAGAATACTCTTGCATGCCAGCAGGAAATCGCTCTTCTAAAAAAAATCTGTAAATTAAATTTTGGATATTTTTCTACCAGTTTACATTTCTGAAGCTTCTGCTGTATGAGGTCTTTTATTTAAAAGATATTTTTAAAATTACCAGGCCCTAGTGCTCTAGAAGGAAAAAAAAGTTTCCTTTCATTAACTAACATTACAGTTGCCCCTACTAAGATAACCTGGAAAGAAACTGTTACCATACCAACAACCAAGGAACTTAAGACATTTACTCATTCTATTTTCTCTCTATTGATTTCAGCTTGAAGATATACTTCAAAAATTAAAAGATTAATTGAGGCAAATTTAAAGCCTGAAGTCTCTGACTTGCATTCCGTGTCATAGCCTCAACACATATACATACATATCCCTCACATACAAACAGCCAACACACCATCTCCATTCCTTTCACATTTCCTTCCCTGTCTACTCTCCCATCAACTAGGATGAGCCTGGGAACAACCTTTCTCAACTCCCTCCCATTTCCCATCTAACTTCACATGCCATCCTGTTATTGTTTAGTCATATTAGTTGTATCTGACTATTCATGACCCCATTTGGAGTTTTCTTGATAAGAGATACTAGAGTGGCTTGCTATTTCCTTCTCCAGTTCATTTTACAGATAAGGAAACTGAGGCAAACAGGATTAAGTGACTTGCCCAGGGACACATAGCTAGCAAATATCTGAAGTCACATTTGAACTCAGGAAGATGTGTTTTTCTGACTCCAGGCCAGGCACTCTATTCACTTTGCCACCTAGATGGCTAGGTACCATCTTAATGAGCTGGAAATATTGATAACTGGAAGAAGGGAGAGCAAACCTAAAACTGCTCCTCCCCTTCACCTTTACTGGTCTGCAGTGTCTTCAGATACTCTTCTATCTCTACGTTCTGGCCCATACCTCCAAGGCACCACTAATCCCTCTCCTCTCTTAGAGCTTAGCCATACATCTAGCTTGTCCTTCGTTATTGCCTACTATGTACCAGGAATTGAGGATACAAGGAGGAAAAAAAGTTCCTGCTCTCAAAAAGTTTACATTCTAGAGCTAAACACATATACAGAAAAGTGAATACAAAACATGTACAAGACAGACAAAAAGCAACTTCTAGGTGCAGACAGAGCCCTAGCAAATGGGGGTATTGGGACAGACTTCCTAAAGGAAGCAGAATTTGAGGTGGGATTTAAGGAAGCTAGAGCTTATAAGGGACAGAGTTGTAGAGGGCATCCATTCTAGGTAGGGGAGGCTGTGCTCATGGGGTTATAAATGGAGGCCCAGAGACTGGGGATGGAATGACACACAAAGAGAATAATAAACAGGTCAATTTGGCTGCCGCATAGATACGGGAAGTGAAGAACTGTGGAATGATCCTGGAATAATAGACAGGAGGCAGACTCTGAAATATATGAAAAGCCCAAAGAGAAGGCAAGAGGCATACATTAGAACAATTGGGCCCATCAGGTATGGCATAGCCAGACCTGTGTACTTTAGGAATATCAGTCTGACAGCTGTGTAGAGGCTAGATTAACTCACCACAGCTGCTGTAATGCAATATCCAACAAATATTTGTGCTACTTTTTTTTCATCACTCAAACTGAACTAAATTCAATTAACAAGCATTTATTAAATGCAACTACTATATACTAAGCCTTACGCTGGGTTCAGTGGATACAAATGCACACCTACTGAGACAGACCTTGCCCTCAAACAATCAATCAATAAGCATTTATGAAGTGCCTATTATATACAAGGAAATGTGCTAGGCATTTGGGGGGGAAAAAGACAAAATATGAAAGTGTTCCTTCAAGGACTTTACTTTCTACTGCCATTAACTGACTAGCAAGTGAAGGGGAGAAGGTCCTAAATGAAAAAACAAAAATGGCTAGAGTAGGGGTAGGGGAGAAAGAATACAATGGAGTCTTTTAATGTTATTCCTTCCTAGAGTTCCTAGCAATCAATAATAATACTTAAATACTCAAAAGCATTTACGATCTCATCAATTCCAGAGTTTCCCTCCAAGATGCACATCACAATTCAGCCCTGCCTCCCCATCCTGGGTGACTCTCTTAGATGTCCTTCCTGACATTCACCAGCGGAGGAACACCCAACCTGCTGGAAATTTTCTTTGCTTTCTCCTGATATCCTGAGGATACCAGTAGAGAGAGCTCTAGCTATCTGCCTGTCATGATTCACTCTCACCACAGTCCTTCCCATCTTCTCTATTTTACTCATGTTCTTCTTTGGAATTCCTCATTGGGACAAGTTTGACACCAAAGAAATTGGCCAAACATCTCCAGACTGATTACGGGCAAGTTTAATCGATTGGATACTTACACTGGGACAGTATGATGGATCCCAACCAAGAGTTTGATAGTCATCAGGCTGAGGAAGTGGTCAAACTAGAGGCTGGATCTCTGAAAAGACCCCAGGAAAGCCCAGTGGTAATTTCAGAAATCAGACAAAGGGAGGAGGAACTGTGGGGTGCTTCACTATGGACAGGGGGATATTTTGGGCTTTTCTGCTTAGTTAACATGTTGGCTAATCTTTTAGTTTATCCTTAGTATTGAACCTGGTTCACAGACATCCAGGCGTCTACCCAGCGCTGTCGGGTAAATGCCCAGGCACTCAGGGTTGGCTATTGGTCATGTACTGGTCACATACTGGTCACAGGATCTAAGTTATGACTCAGTGATTCAATATCTTATTTATGATTTTTAACAGGTCAACATGTCCGGGTTTCCACCTTTCACAGAGTTTAAATTAATGGCGTTCACTTCTTACTGTGTATTATTATGGCATTTTCCCAATAGGAACCCCACAAGTGATTGTGGAAAAGTGATGTAAAAGAGGAAGGAAAGTACTAAAATTTTCATGCAGTTCCTAGATCATCCACAAACTTTAATTTGCTTGTTGATGCTCTAAATGGGAGATCTTTGTTCAAAGACCAAAGAGTATACACTAAATCAGATCAATCTCAACATTCTTGCTATCAATGAAACCAGAAGAAAGAAGGAAGGTGCAGCTAAATGGAAGGATGACTCATGCAATCCTTGGAGAAGCAAAGAAAGGAACTGGTGAAAAAAAAATTATTAGACACTCAAATGGTACAAGAAATATTATTTCATGGCACATTTTGTCATCATATATATTGCACTACTAGTGATAAACACTTGGAAAACACCACCATGAAAAGAAATGCAGCTTGCACAGCAATGCCACTTGCCAAGGACAAACTGGTAGAGAAATTTTATGCAGAACTCATTGAAATTATATCAAAATACACTCTGGTACTTATTGACTTGAAGGCAAAGGTGGGAAAAAGGTAAAGATGGAAAGAATTACATAGGAAAGTATGATTTAGGAGAAACAATGAGAGGCAAGATTTGTAGATTATACGGAAGTCTTGCAATGCCATATTACTCAAAAAAATTATTAGATGCTGGACATGGCAAACACCAAATAATATCTCAAAGGATGAAACCAATTACATTTCAGCAGGCAGGAAAAGACATTAAGGATGTGGAAAATCCCTGAAGCAGTTACACAATTAAAAAAAAAAGGAAAACTCATCACAGCTAAGATCAGGATTTATACTTGACAAGAAGAAATAATAGTAATGAGAAAATGACATGGCACAATACAATTAAGAAGATTTAACCCTGAATTATTTAAACTATTAAAAATTTAAAAATGGGAAATGGATAAAAGAAATGATATCAAAACTGATTACAATGATTTTATCCAGCAGTTAAACAAATATAAAATAACTACTACAAGGAGACCAAAAGAGTCCAGGACGCCTCTCAGTCCGTCTCTTAGTCACCAAACGTTTGACTTGCCAGAGAGTCGATTGCCAAAGTCAAATCAAGTCAAAACAAGCATTTATTAAGTGTGCTGGGCACTGGTTAGGGGTACAAAGAAAGACAAAAATAGTCTCCTTCAGTAAAGGATTTCACAGTGTAATGAGAAGGGATAACATGCAAATGACTGTGTACAAATAAGATGTTTATGGGATAAATTGGAGATAATCTTTTTTGGTTTTGTTTTGGGTGGGGTTTTTTTGTTATTCTTGTTTTGAGGAGACTGGATCTATTTATTTTATTGGTATAAGGAACTCCAGGTGAGGAAAACTGCACAGATATGATCTCCACAAATTACAGATTACAGATGTGAACTGGAGATAATCTTAGAGAAGGCACTGACATTAAGGAGGACCAGAAATGACTTTGGGTTCTAGGGGTAATCCTGTGGCTAAATACCTAACACTACAGCTAACAAACCCCAACCTGTATGTCTTCCATAAACAATCAGCTCACAGACTCAATTAGCTCTTAAAGGCTTATTCAAATGCCATAACAAGAAAAATAGTTTATAAAACATTTCCCCCCAACACCTAGTTATACTCTACCACAAATAATACACAGAATCCCTGAAGGGTGGGGAGTAGGCATAAACTTAATGTACTGTTGTAGGGAGGCACACCTGTTGTGAACACATGCAGCGAATACAACACATACTCTGGGACTGCAAGGACTCAATGTTCTTTCTTTTTTTGGAGAGTCTTGACAAAGTTCATTGCAGGGTAGGGTATCAGTAGTATTTGTGATGGATGGGGACCTCTGCTGCTAGACTTTACTGGGTCCCCACTACTTCTCAGATGTATGGGTAGTTCAGCTGGGCTTGCTCCTTACATGGCGTCTCTGCTAGATGTGTCAATTTACTGCTGGGCAACAACAGATAGGTCACTTGGTTACTTCGCTAGACCTTCACAAGGCACAATATATCTCCTGGATGGCTCAATTCACTAGATTTCTTGGGCTTGCTCTTCAATGGGAATCTGTAGTCTCTACCACCTGCCACCTTAGACTTAACTTAGGGTTACTGTACTCTTTTACTGGGGGTGGTCTTTTAGAAAGGGAAAAGATCCTTAGCTTATGATTGAAAAAAGCCTCTCCAATTTTGCTCATTCAAGGTCTCAGCTCTGATTCTTGTCATTTTCAGGAAGGAAATATAAGTTTTGCCTGTCTTCTTTGAAAAAATTTTCTGTTAAACTTGGTTCCCTTAGTGAGAGACCTCAGACTAATTTATGGTGCCTAGTTCAGAACATTTCCTAGATTCCAACTGGTTCTTATGCAAATGAACAGACTAGAGACTATGTTCTAGGGACAAGTTCATTCTGTCATCTGACCTTTTTCATATTCAATTTCACTATTCAAAGGCCTCAGATGCTTACTGGGTATGGAATGTTTCATTTATGCCTAAAAGGACCTCACTGTTACATTTCATTGTCTCTATCTTTGCTTTTTGCGTCACAGAAATCTAAATGGGACACATTCTTATATTAACTGGGGGCAAAATGTAAAAGAAGACAGTCCTGGTGCCCAACAGAAGAAAGGGTATGACTGAAGCTCTAGATTAGAACTGAGAAATGTTCTGCTGCATTTGTGCATCAATTCAAGGCCTAGGTCTACAGCTCCTTCCCCAATTCTATCACCCTGTTCTTAGAATCCATGACTTCATCTTGGAGTAAAGAGAACCACTTCTACTGCTTGGAGACTGAAGAAAAAATTAGCTCCCAATCTCTTGGCTCCAGGGGATGGGGAGATATATGCTTGTTTCAAACAAGCAACTTTTAAGTGTCTAAGTGTCAAGCACTGGGTAGAGGTGGGACGGAGGTGGTGGTAAGAAATACAAGACAAAGACAAAGAATCTTTGCCCTCAAAGAGCTTACATTCTACTAGGGGACAGAGATCAGTAAATACAGACTATATGCAATATAAATAAACAATGATTATGGTTGGGGGGAAAGACAACTAACAACTAGGGAGATTATGAAAGACATATTAAGGGAGGTAACACTTGGGCTGAACCTTGAAGGGTTCTAAGAGTCAGCAGTACAGAAGGAAAGCATTTCAAGCCATAGGATGGGACGACCTGTCTTTAGACATCAACGGAGGTGACAAACTGTCCTGTACAGTTTGGAGAGCTTGATTGGAGCTTAAGGGGTTGAAGGAGGAGTAATGTCTAATCAAGTCTCTATAAATTGGATACTACTTCTCTTGATTACTAAAGTGAGATTAAAAAAAAAATTCCATTATTGTTGCCTCATGAACCCTGAAAAATTAGAGTAAAAATTATACAACTTTTTAAAAAGCAAAGCCCTAAGCTACATAATTTATAACATTAAAAAAGGGAGAAACTGTTCAAGTGTCCAGAATGAAAAGTTATGCTTCTTTTTTTGTTAGCTAAATTTTACCTACTATCTGATGTTAAAGTCCTCCCATTATATGCTATGCCAACGGACCACAGGCTCTGGCAGGTCCTAAACTAAACTGAAAACACTTTGAATGTCAACCCAGAGACAAATTGTATTTTCTCTCTCTTGAGGACCAGGCTGGCTAGTTTCTAAAGGTCTTATCCCTTTTACATAGGCATTTTGCTCAGCAAAACCATCTACTATGGTAGGAATCTACCATGAAGGAATTAAGGTTTGTGTCTATGGTGGGCATACACAGGGATGAAATTGAGAATCCTTGAGGGAAAATAAGTTTCACTTAGTTTCAATATGGAAAATAACTCATTCAGTTTCTTCCTTTTATTGATTTAAATAATTTTCACTCACATTCAGGACAGCAGCATGTGAGTTAAATACTGGAAATGTCTTCAAAGCATGTAACTTTCTCTGACTACAGAGACATTTCCAATGGAAAATGCATTGGACAGGGAACCAAGAAATGTGGCACCCCGTTGGACCTTTGCCAAAACTTGTTAAGTGATCTTGGATAAGTAACAAATTCTTTGTGACTCAGTTTCTTCAGCTAAAAGTGAGAAATAACAGGAATCCTTGTAAGGATGCCAAAAGGGTAAGTTAAATGCCTTGAGTTACCGTAATAATGTGACTGATATTGATTATACTCTTCTGCTATACAACATATGGCTTCTTAATTAATGGTATTACCATTATTAATACTCACAACTGTAATTCCCTTTTTCCTTAAAAAATACATGTCTTTTATGTTTATGCCCGTCATTTCTGACCTCTTCTAGTCTGAACTCTTTTGACTTTCTCTGACAATGTAATTTATTCTAACTAATAGGTCCCTATCTGCAATAAGGGCAGAGGTGTGTTTCACTAATCAAATTAATCAATACTTAAAGAAATTAACTCTGACTATTCATTGGAAGGACAAATACTGAAGCTTAAATACTATTATCACATAATGAGAAGACAGGAGTTACTAAAAAACACTTTGATGATGTGAAAAATTGAAGGTAAAAGGAGTATGGCAGAGGATGAGATGGATAGGTGTCATGGAAGCAATGAACATGAGCTTGGACAGAGTTTGAGACAGAGGACAGAAGGGCCTGGTGTGCTGAGCTAGACACGAGTGAACAATAACATTTCACTCTTTCCCACACAGAATGCTCTTAGTTTTTTTCATTATTCAGAGTTTAACCTTTCAGTGCTCTATTTACATGGTTGTAGTCATTGTACACGTCATTTTCTTGGTTCTGCTTATTTCAGTCTGCATCAGTTCTTGATGAGTTTCTCAGAATTCCTCCTATTTATCATTTCTTACTGAATGATAATTACGTTCACATACTATGCTTTTTTCCCCCCAGCAATTCCCCTAATTATCTTTTTAAAAAGCATCAACCTGCCAGTTTTAATGCTCACATCTCTTTTATGCTGAACCAATTTTTTTTTCCTGCAACATTATCCTACAGAGCTAGTTACCTACCCTATTGGTGGTAAAGATTAAGGTGTCCCTAATAGATGGCATTTGTAACAACAGTGCATAGATACTATGGAAGAAAAGTGCCATATGGTCCTGGGTCCCGTGCCTTACAAGGAGTCAGGAGCCTGGCAGAAATTACCTTAGAGCCCACAATTACTTCTAAGATTTTTCATCTGTTTGACACAATAAATCACATACTGATATCAAAACCACATTCAGTTCAGAGATTTAGAACTGTTAATTCTGAGCATTGTATTTTAAGAAAACACTGATAAGCTGGAGAGCATGCCCAGTAGGGTGAAGGGCCCTGACCTGTCATATAAGTTGAAAGACTGGAGGATAATCTCAAGAGCACTGGATCTAAGGCTGACTCTGCTGCTTACTACTTTTGGGATCCTGGGTAATTCCACCTTTCCTTCTCAGTTTTTTATCTGTAAAATGTGGTGGTTGGACTAAATGACATCTAAGGTATCTTCAAGCTCTACATCTAGGATGCTATCAAGTGGAATGTTTAGCCTGGACAAGAGAAGTCTTGGAAGGCAGCACTCCAACTTCGGGACTTTTGGGTCTTTGTGTCCTCAGCACCTAAGCTTTGTATTTAACACATAAAAGAAGCTAAATAAATGTTTGCTGAATTAAGTTGGATAGTCATCTTCCAGCATTTGAAAGGCTGCTCTGTGGAAGAAAGATCGGACTTGTTCAGCTTCGCCTAGGAGGACAAAGCTAGGAGCAAAAGGCAGAAGTCGCAGAAGCAAATTTTGGCTTGAAGCAGCAGGGATGTGCTGGTAAATGTGGTTCTCCAAGAAATGTGGGCACAACACTTTTAATTTGCGTTATTAAGGCTAGACAATCAACAAAACAATAATAAATCATGCCCGGATTTGTAATGTTTGCCGCTTTGAGGTGTAAATACTCACTGAAAATCAAACCATCAGTTCCAGCACGGCCCAGGATGCAAGGAAAGCCTTTTGTTAGATCTATCAAAGAGTAAAATGGGCTGCCTAGGGAGCCCTAAATATCTCCTCACTAGGCTGTCAAGCAAACATCAGATGGGCTACATCCTAAGGCATTACTGCAGAGGGACTTTTGATGGTTCCCGTAGGGCCGGACTGCACGGCCACTGAAAGCCTCCCTCGCACACGCTGGGCATTTCAGGGCTGGAAGTGACCGCAAGCGCCGTCTATTTCACAGATGAGAAAGGCGATGGCTCCTTTGGCAGGCGGGGCAGGGGACAGGCCTCAGGCGTCCGGCCTCAGCTGGTGGGCGCTCTCCGGGGCCGGGAGGACCCTCGCCTGCATTATTTGCTCATCGGCTCTGAGCTCTGCCCCGTAACAAAGCCGATGTGGCCGGGCCGGAGCGGACCAAGATCCAAAGGGGGAGGGCTTATCCGAGCGCCCCAAACTTCTGCAAACGGCTGAACGCGCAGCGGGAGGTGTTTCCCCTCGCCCCGGCTGCCCGCGGGCAACGAGCCATCTCCGGGTGCGAAGGGAAGGGAGCGCGTCGAGGCCTCGGCCGAAGCACAAGTGTGGGGCTGGTCTCCCCCAGCGGAAGGGGGCGGGGAAAGGGCGGGGCCACCGACGAGAGGCCTGGCCTTCCCGAGCCCCGCCCCCTTCCGGCGGGGGCACCCCCGGAGGGCCCGCCGACCCCCCTCTCGGCCAGACCGGGTCCGGTGCCCCTCCGCCCCTCCCCGCGGGCACCGGGGATACGCCGACCCCATTGGAACGGAGCATTGTGTCTCGGTGGGGAAGTGCCTGGATGCTTCTCGGTTCCATCCCCACGCCCCCTCCCCCGCGGGGCCTGCGTGACACGTCCCCGGTTGCAGGGCTTCCGGCTGCACGGGGGTGGGGGGGCAGTGACGTAGGGGGAACGTGCCCTCTATATGAGGTTGGGGAGCGGCTGACTCGGCCTTTTCCGCCCGCTCCCCCCTTCCCCCCCAAGCGCCGCTCCGGCTGCATCGCGCTCACACCAAGCTCCGGGCCCCCGCAGCGCTAGCGCAGCCGCCGCCGCCTCCCTCCTTCCGCCGCCATGATCATCTACCGGGACCTCATCAGCCGTGAGTGTTGCCCGCGCGACCCCTGCTGCCGCGCGCTGGGGAAAGGGGAGAGCTGGGTGGGGTAGGAATAGGAGGGAGGACGCCGCCGCCCCGGCCAGGCGCGAGGCGGCCGGGGGCGGGGAGAGGAGCGGCGCGCGCCGGCCGCGAGGCCTCTAGATCCCGGATGGGCTCCGGGTTTTGGCTGGGGGGAGGGGGAGAGACATGGCGCGCGCGCGGGGCTGGCGGCCCCCGGGAGGGAGGAAATGGCGGCACTGACACTGAGGCCAGTGCTGGGGGGAAGGGGGGGCGCCTGCTTCGGGCCGGTGGGGAGTGAGTTGGGGCCCCAAGTCTGTCTGTCCCCGAGCAGATGATGAGATGTTCTCCGACATTTACAAGATCCGGGAGATCGCGAACGGGCTGTGCCTGGAGGTGGAGGGGAAGGTGAGGCCGGGGCCGGGGAGGGAGGCGGGGGTGGCGACGCGGCATGGCTTGGGTTCCCGCAGCTCCCAGGCCGCAGGCGTGGTGAGGAGGGAGGGAGGGAGGTTGTGCAATCCGCCTCCTGGCGGAGGAGACGCGGTTTCCTGGCGAAGGCCCCCGCCGAGACCGAAGTTTCCAGGAGGTATTGGAGAGCGAGGCCCGTTCCCTAGAGGCGCTGCTGCCACCTCTGGCGCCTAGGGCTCCCTGCAGCCGGGGGGAGGCGGGCCGACAAGGTTGGCCTACCTTGGGGGGAAGCAGCACAGGCTTTCCCCTCGGAATCCCCAGCCGTCCTCGATTTGTCCGTCTCTCCCCTTCCCTAGAGCCCTGCCGGAGCAGACATTCTGTTCTTAATGCTTGCTGCTGCCTCCTCCAGTACCCAAGTCATCTGGTTTAAACGTTTTAACTAAAGGCTGGCCATACTCTTAATCCTTTGTCTTAGACTTCAGGTCCTTTATATTTTAATTTACCAAAGTGAGCACCAGTTAATAGTAATACAAAGAACCAATTAATAAGATCGAAAGGAAGTTAGGAAGACTTTAGTTAAAGTCCCATTTTCAGACACATACATTGACCCTGGTCTAGTATCCTTTGACAACTATAGCACAACAGATAACGAATTGGTAGAGAGAATTTCCTTCCTTTGGAGTTCCATATACTGTTTAAATAACAAGTAGAATGCCAAAAAAGAAAGCTAATTCAACATTATTTATTATTCATGGGTAACATATGGATATTGCAGGCCTTACTTAGTTGACTGTATTTAGCAGCTTATTTGTAAGGATCTTGAAAATTTTTTTGTTGTACTCTTATCTTCCTTCCCCTCTTTTCCTTTTTTCTAACCCAGATGGTCAGTAGGACAGAGGGTACCATTGATGATTCACTCATCGGTGGAAATGCCTCTGCTGAAGGTCCTGAGGGTGAAGGAACAGATGCCACTGTAATCACTGGAGTTGACATAGTAATAAACCATCATCTGCAAGAAACTAGTTTCACAAAAGAATCCTACAAAAAGTACATCAAAGACTACATGAAATCGTAAGTTATTAATGTCTTTCAAATAACTGAAAGGTTTGAATATAAGTTAGTTATTCATTATTTCTTGTAGCCAGGACCTAATGGTTTAACTATTCTAAGTACCATTATGGTACAAGGATAGTCGCAAAATTTTTAGGTGAGCGTTGTGAAGAAAGGATTGGAATAGTTAGATTATAAAGATCTGTTGGCAGGAAACACTTGAATTTAGTGTCCTGGGAATGTCATTAGCACTATGGCTAATAAGCAAGCCTCTTTAGAATTTTTGGGATATGCACAAAACTACTCTGACTTAATGTAGACAATTTGGGGGAGCTTTGGGGGATTTTTTTTTAATGTAAAAAAAGACGTTACAATATGGACTTGACCATTGTGAATATTTTGGGTTTCTTTTTTCTTTTGGATATTTAATTGTAAGAAAACAATTTCAGTTATTCATTTTTCTTAAAATTCAGTATTTTAGAAAAACTGAATAGACTCTTTTGTTTTAGAATCAAAGGCAGACTTGAAGAACACAAGCCAGATAGAGTAAAACCTTTTATGACGGGAGCTGCAGAACAAATCAAACACATCCTTGCTAATTTTAAAAACTATCAGGTAAATATCTTGAAGTTGCAGATCAGATCAAAGGAATATAAACAATTTAACTGTCCTTCCCCAAATTGCTTAAAAATGTTTGGCCACTTGGGTATTTTGGAATCTATCTATAGTTTGCTAGCTTGTGGGATGTTTTATTTTAGCTTCGGGTACTTGGGATACTTTGGAGATTCAAATTATTAGGGTTGGTGTAATATCCCCAAGCTGTATTTCTGGAGCTCTAATCACAAATGACATTACACTGTTCTGGGGAAATCTGACTGTCTGGTCCAGAGTGCAGTGTAGTTTGCTTAAAAATAGGAGTGGTAAATTCTGTCAGAAGTGAAATAGCTAACTTTTGTCCCAAGGCCCTCTGCTTTCAGAGATCTATTTCTCCTTAAAGGCAGCTTTGCTTGGAATTCCAGTTGTGCTTTTGTTGTTGGTAATCCCCCTTCTATCCTATAGTCATTCCCCCTCTCTATTTTTGAATAGGAATGTACATCAATAGAATGGGGAGGCTACTTGGTATAGTACTTCAAAAGCCCTGAATTTAGAACTAGAAGACTTGTGATTGGGGAGGAAAGAGGATGTGGAGTCCCAGTGTCTTGTATCATCATGGTGATGAAAAATCAAATACTTGGTGACCATGTTGCTTTATCTTTCCTGCCCTCCTTCCCAAGTTCTTCATAGGCGAAAACATGAATCCAGATGGCATGGTGGCTCTCTTGGACTTCCGTGAGGATGGTGTGACTCCATATATGATTTTCTTTAAGGATGGTTTAGAAATGGAGAAATGTGTAAGTAAAAATAAAATACTTTGTTTCTGTAAAAGTAATTTAAAACACCCAATCTATTTGAAAGTAGATAATGAAGTATAGTTGAATGTTAGGTTTCTTTGTGACCTTAGATAGAGGAAGTATAAAAGCCACAAAAGTTTAATGTTCTTGCCATAAAACAGTCCAGGTCTAATGTTTGTCTTTTCTTTTAAAGTTTTTCTTAATTTTGTAATAAAGCTTAGTTTTAGATGCTGAAATTACATTCATAAGTCCATAGGTTTCAAATCATTCCAAAACTTTGGCTGATAGGAAATGTTTAGGTAGGTTTCCATGTATATGTCCTATTGGACATCTCTATATTTTCTATAGTTTCAAAATAGTTCCCATTTTGACTTTGATGTACTAGTTAAAAGCATTGAGAATAACTGTTTAAATTTGCAAGGCTACATTTCATTAGCAACAATCATAGCATAAGTTTTAGTCTAAGATTAGTGCTGGTGTTTAACTGAGAAAATGTTCATTGGCAAAAATCAGGTCACAGTTCCTTAAGGGTCTGCTATTGTGTAAGGCACCAGCAGATTTGCCATAGAGGGGACACAAGGAGGTCATAATCCATTTGTGGTGAATCATAGAACTCTGTGTTGGAAAGGTCACTTAGAGTAACCCTTTTGGTTTACAGAGGAGAGAACTGAGAATCTGAAGCTTTGACATGAACAATGTCCTGTATAGCAATGTGTTTGCATAAACATGAGAAGTTAATTAAAAGGTTACTATAGAAGAGACACCCTGTATTGGTAACAAGTGAAGTAGAAATGGATTCATCTTAGAGTGGTTGGGAAAGTCTCTTAATACAACAGGAGATGGACTGCAGGACTTTACTTTTTTTTTTTTAAATGTTCATTGTTTTCTCTCCCCATGCTGGGGAGGCAAACCCCAGCAATATTCACATAACAACTAGAAATGCATTACTTATATTCTTAAAGGATGGGTAGGTAGACTTGGGATAGATAGTTGCTGTCTCTCCAGTCTAAGTTAATGTTGTGAGAAAAAGTTGAGACAAGTGCTTTAGGACATGTTCAGAAAAGATAAGTAAAACAAATTTTATTAGCTTATGCCTCTGCATAAGGTTCAAAAATTCTGGCTAAAAAAGGTAAGTTTATTAAGAGCAGTGGGTATGAGGCCAAATAAAAGGTTAAAAATTCTGTTCATCAGGGGTTAGGTAAGCTTTGATAAATCATTGACCTGCATCCACTGATAGACCTTGAACAAGTTACTGTTGTTCACCGGTTTGCACTAGGGTGCCAAAGAGAAGTCCTCGCTCTTTCTGTCTGTCTTTGTGGCAGCCAGGATTGAATAGAGGAATACATTTACATAGAAGAAGTAGCTTCTGTTCAATATTGGGGGAAAGCCTTTTAACCTGTCTCCTTTTACTGCAGTAACAAATTCAGCTGATTACTTTGAATCACCTGTCATCATAACTGGCTGCTGCTTTTTGTCGTCTACACAACACCAGGACTTGGACAAACTTGGACTGATGTCATCTTGAGCTTTATTCATTTATTTTTGACCTTGATTTATTTGGAGTGGAGGCATTGTTTTTAAAAACATGTCATGTAGGTTGTCTAAAATAAAACGCATTTAAACCCATTTGAGAGAATTCTAATGTTTTTTAAGCTCAAATTACAGTAACTTGCTACAAGTTGTACCTCAAGGATCGTTTTAGAGATCACTGCCTGGTCTTAGGTTACTTTTCAGCGTAAGACTCTTCAGATAGACTTTTCTACAGTTGACTGCTTGTGAAAAAGGGAAGAGATGCCCACAGATGTGCCAACAATACGAAGTAGACCTTTCTACATTTTCGTTTCATCTACAAGCTGAAGTAGAGTTAACTCTGGAAGAGATTACATCCAAACTGAATAAAATGAAACTGTTAAAAACTGTTGGAAGCTGAGTATTGACTGAGCTTATTTATCAACCAGCTCGAAATCCAGGTTGTTTACTTTGAGTTAGCAGGGAGATCAGACTCCTGAGATTTAGGGGATTGTAGAAAAGGATGCAGATCATGTAAAGGGCAGCTGGTGAGGGATTGTAAATATTGAATATACGTATTTTATACTTAATTTCTTTTTAAAATGAACTTTTAATGAGGGGTGGCTTAATTTATGGAAAATAGGTTGAATGAAAGGGGGGGTATGGGCAAGATCACTACCTGTGAGTAGATTGTTAAAATAGACTTTTTAATAGTAAAAAGTGGAAGAGGGGTATTTCTTTATGCATGGTAATCCTTAAGACATAGGGGAGAGAGACCTAAGGTAGAGAAAGCAATTGGGAGATCTCAAGATTAAAAAATTATCTTTTTTTCTTTTAGATAAATGGAGGAGGGGAAGGAAGATTGACAAGCCATGACTAGCTATCACAGGGGTTCAGTTAACCTGTTTGGGAAAAAAGAAAAAAAAAGCTAGAAGGGCATGGATGTCTGTTCTGTGGATGTCATGGATGAATAGATCATTTATGCATCTCTTTGACAGACCTGGAGCAGTTATGTCTGCTTTTAAGGTTTCCACTAAGATGCAAGAAAAAATTTCCTCTCGCTTTCTCTCTGCCTGATTGTGGCAGTCTAGATTGAATAGAGGAATACAAGAAGTGGCAGACTGGGCCATTGCCTCATCTTCACGTGAATATTTGAGAGTCCTTTTAAAATTTTTATTTTTGGTAGGCATTTTGGAATGGAAGTATGACAAGCAAAGTATATCCCAGCCCTGCCAGTTTGCTAGACCTTTTGACTTAGACAAGTTCTATAAATTTAGTTTGGGATGGGTGATTTAGAACTTTAAATATATAGCTCAGATTCTGAAATAGGAATTGGTGCAGGATGTGACCATTTTGATGAAGATTAGGGCCAGAAGTATGACCGAGGTCTAAATTGATTTCAAAGTCTAGCAGTGTTAGCTTGCAGTTATAAGTCTCCTACCTAATGACAGTGATCAGTGGTATCTGGAAGTCCCAGATTGATTTGAAAAAAAAAGCTCCAGTGTTGAATATTATAAATAAAGCTGAGTTTTTATGTCTGACATTATGGTCTGTCTTTATTCCTTAATGTTACTTGTTATCTTGTTTGGGGAGCGACTAAAGCTGTGATGGCATGGAAGGATTACCTAGTCCATAATGATTGACTTGATTTATATATAGAATACATATTATAATCTGTAAGTTTCCCCCTTCATTTTATAAGTTATTAAAGCTGCCTTGGGCCAGTTTTGTCAGCTTATGTCAGTTGCAGCCAATCATTGGAGGGTGTACAAGGAAGGACAAAAGAATGAGGGAAAAATGGTTCAGCTACCAGCAATCTTGACTGATATTTGGGAGGGCTGAATAATAATCAGAGTACAAAGAGAAAGTATTGGCCAGATGTGTGACATAAATGCCATTAATAGACAATTTTGTGATTAGAAAAATACAAGATGTAAAATCACCTTAAACGTGGGGATTGTCTGGGTAAAAGGATATTACTTGTATCTTACAAATGGAAGTATAATGGTGGATTGTAAAGAGCACTGCCTTAGGGAACCATTGGGTTCCAGGCTTTCATCTGTCACACATTTTGGACGAGTCCCTTGAATCTGTGCCTGTTTTCCTCAATTGTACTTTAAAGTTATCTTGGAGTGTCAAGATGGTTTCATCTATAGAAAAATCTAGCACATAATTACGCCTAATTCAAAGAACATGAAGTGCAATCCCTTGATCCTATAGGTGTATGAGGCTGGGCATAGGAAGAAGAAATGAGTATTTGTGGCACAAAGAAGCTTGTATCTAGTGGGTAAAAAGTAGTTGGCATTCATGGTGCTTTTGATAAGTTACCTGCTTTAACCTTTAGCATAACCTTGTAGATAAAATATCCTTTTACAGATGAGGAAGGTGGCACAGACATTTAGTGCCTTGCCCCTTGGTCAAAGTGTCCGGGTCCAACTTAGGTGTCTGGAGTGGCCTTGTTTCTGTTAGTCCAAGTAGGGGCTGTGTGACCAGGTTGGGTTGTCCTTGATGGGAACCACTCACTGTTGGTACTCAGAGTAGGACAGGGAGGAGATGAAGTCAGAAGTGTAATTCCAATCCCTTCCTGGTGCACGGAACTTAAAAGCAGAGAAAATTACTCCCAATGTTACTTAACAGTTAAAACCCACACAAGACAAACCACTGATACAGTATTCAATGAAACAGGATTTTTAATAAAGTGCTTATTGTATGTTTTCATATTGTTGATAACCTTGACTCATCTAAAATTCTTACTCTAACCCTTTAAAAATTAGTATTTTTTTGGTCTCCTTCATTTCCCAAAATAAGCCTTCCCCACCATCTCTTTTAATAATAAAAAAGGGGGAGGAGGGGGAGAAATTCTGCAAAACTAAAAGAATTGACACGTATGCAGTCCAATTGCTTGTAAATTTTCTTTCCATACTGGCTTTTATAAAATGTATGTCATTTTTTTAATAAAAATTTAATAACCAGCAATAGTTCCAGGAAAAGACATTGGCTGAATCATCTATAAACTAATTTATGAACATGGGAATTAGTCTTCCTTTTTGTAATAGTTCCTTTATCTCCATCCAGCTTTCAGAATCTTCCTAAGGTTCCCTACTAAAAAAAAATGTTTAAATGAATTCCCATTCTGTCCAGGACAAAGTGCAAACTTGGCCTAGTATTTAAGACCCTATGTAGTGTGATGCCACCTTACCTTTCCTATTTCCTCCAAGCATTCTATTTTCTTGCTAGATAACTACTAGCCATACCTTGAATTGGGAATTCCCTGTCTTTCTGGCTCTGTGCATGTGTGCAAGCTGTCCCCAGGCACTTCCTCGCAGAAACTTTGGCTTCAAGGCTCAACTCAGATACATACCTGGAACCCTTGATCACCCTCCTCCACCGCCCCCAACTCTAAATTTTTGGTGCTATCTCCAATTTCTTTGTACTATAATGGTGACATCCACACTCTCACCCCTTTCCCTCCATCGTTAGAATAAGGTCTTAGAGAAGAGGGTTTCTTTCATTTTTATTTCCGCACCCTCTCAGTGCCAATTGCAATGCCTTGCTCCTACGCAGTAGTTGCTTAATGAATGTTGGTTGAATTCAATCATACTTAGCCATACAACATTAATAGAACACGGCAGGAATTCCAACTAGGGCTGGTCTCAGAGTCAAAACCACTTGGGCTTAAGTCCAACTTCTAACACATACTGGGCCCCCCAGGCAACTCTAAAATCATAAGTTGATGAGCACATACTGAAGCAACCCTTCACCAGGATTGTCCTGTACTGATGAAAGAAACCCCAGGTCTGATTAAAAAATAATAAACCAAATTAGCTGATGTGAAGCTACATGCTAATGCTATGGATAGGATTCCTGGTATTTAAATTTAAACAGTTTTTTTAATCTAGGGTTTCTAAAAATTCTAAATATAGTAATCTCTAAATTTTCCTCAGGCTATTTACCAGTGTCAGAATGATATTACTGAGAAGCAGCAAGGCAGGGTTAGATTTGGAGTCATGAAGACCTGGGTTCAAATCCTATCTTTCATACTTTTTGTGACTATGGGCAAGGTACTCAACCATTCTCAGCCTCTGTTTCTTCAGGAAAGGGGATGATTAGTGCATCAGGGGTTTTGTGAGGATCAAATGAGAATATATAAAATGCTAGTTCTGAAAGTGTTAGTTATAATCTTTGGCACATCACTTTTTTTTTCTTAAAAAGAAAAAAAGGACTAAAGGGTGACCACCTTTTTTTTTTCTTACAAAAAGCAACATAAAGTAGTGATCAGAAAAAAAGGGGCCACAGAACCAGGAAGACTCTTCATTTTGGGGTACGCAATTGGGGTTAAGTGACTTGCCCAGGGTCACACAGCTAGTAAGTACCAAGTGTCTGAGGCCAAATTTGAACTCAGGTCTTCCTGACTCCAGGGCTGGTGTGCTATTTACTGCACCACCTAGCTGTCCCCCAGGCTCTCTGTCAATAAGGAAAGATTCCTCTAGTGGAGGGGAGAAGGGATACATGGCAAGTCTAAACAATGTAAAAATCAGAGATATACAAAAATCTATTAAAAACAACAACAACAACAACAACAACAACAAAGGAAGACCTGAGTTCCAATAGAGCACCCGTCCTGAAGTCAGGAGGACCTGAGTTCAAATCCAGCCTCAGACCAAAACACTTGACACTTACTAGCTGTGTGACTCTGGGCAAGTCACCTAACTCCAACTGCCAAAGAGAGAGAGAGAGAGAGAGAGAGAGAGAGAGAGAGAGAGAGAGAGAGAGAGAGAGAAGAGACACCTGAGTTCTAATTCTGCCACAGACATTTGCTAGGTAATCCTAGGTAAATAATAGCCTTTCAGCCTCAGTTTCTTCTATAAAATGGGGATAATAATAGTACCTATGTCATAGAATTGTTGTGAGGATCCAATGAGATTTCACATATATATATGCATATATGTGTATGCACACACATACACACACACATACATATAGTGCTTTGCTAATATTAAAGCACTTTGTCCAATTATTATTATTCCCACTACACTATATGAAGATTTTTATGTTCTCTAGCTCTTCTCTGGAGCAGGGTGGGGATTGGATCTGGGAGCGAGGTACAGCAGTATTTCCCAAACTAATTTGTGTAAAGAGCCCTTATGGGCTTGAACTATATTAGCAGAACCTGTAAATGTTAATTTGAGAGTATGGAATGTTCCTGAGATATTAAGTGTGGTCAGGGAAGTTTTTAGAGGAAAATAGAGCTTATTAAACCCACTTTCATCATGAAAGATTTGCCACACATATTAAGTTTTTTGGATAGATGCATAATTTTATATTGATTATTTTAGAAGTAAAAAATTTGCTATCTGAAATTTTCTTATGGAATTCCCATTCAGATTGTGTAGAATTCCAAGGTTCTGTGGA